GTGGCCACAGTGGATGAATGGGTAAGCAAAGCATACCGCGTACATGTGATGGAGTGTTACTCAGCCGTAAGAAGGAGGGAAACTCTGACACATGCTATGACGTGGATGGACCTCGAGGACATTTTACTAAGTGAAATGAGCCAGCCACAAATGGCCAAATATTGTGTGATTGCACTCAAATAAGGTACCCAGAGCAGGCATATGCAGGGCACGGGTAACCAGGGGCCCTGGGTGGAGGGGCTGCTGAGTTAGTGCTTACCGGGGATAGTTTCGGTTTCGGATGACGAAAAAATTCTGGAGATGGACGTTGGTGATGGTTGCACAACCACGTGAATGCACTTCGTGCCGCTGGACTCACACGTAGAAATGGTTTCAATGGTACATTTTATGTTATGTTTATTTTATTGCAATTTTCGAAAAAGAGAAAGAGAATCGCCATTTACCCAGTTGTTTTTTTTTTTTTTTTAAATCTGTTAGTATCACGCATGGGTAGACTGGGTTCATGCAGCTGACCCAAACACTGTCTCTCTTTTTTAAAATATTATTTCCATCCACCTTCAGGACCAAGAGAGGGTACCAGAGAGGGGCCAACCCTGAATTCCTCAGACTTGTCTATGGGTTCCGAGGTACGTTCACCACGATGAATGTCTTCATCACAGGAGCATCCCCACGGTTTTAGAATTCAGATACTCAAACTGTGGCTTCACCCAAAGAAGGATGGTAGGTTTTATAAATAATAATTTTTAAAAGGAATGGAGGCAGAGGAGTTGGCTGAGGTGCTGCTAGCCAAGACTGGAAGCAGGCACCTGCCCACTGGGGTGCAGACAAAAACGCACAAGGTGGTGGGGAGGCTGTTGACCTCCCTGGGAATCCAACTGGGCAGAAGCCACCTTCAGGAAAAGTCTCAGCTGAGAAGCTTGGGGGGGGACCCTTGGAACTCACCAGAAAGCTGTCTCTGGGGTGATGTTGAATTCACTAGGATGGATCCCCACTGGCTTCCATCTGGTGGCTGAGCGCCACAGGAACCAGGAAAGGAGCTCACGCCAGAGCCAGGAGGAGATGCCTGCAGTGCGCCCTCTACCGACAAAGCTTAACGTGCAGCCAGCTAACTAAGGAAACCATCCGAAGCCCAGCACCCCCGGTGTGTTTGGAGCTGAATCGCGGTATTGATAACCGGTACAGGGACAAGATGCTAATAGTTGTGAATCTGGGTGAAGGCATACGAGAGTTCTTTGTACTATTTTTGAACTCTCCTCTATGTTTGGAATTATTCCTATGTTTAAACACTTAAAGAACCCCTTTAGCTGAAAAGAACCAAAATAAGACGTTGGAGAGGATGATTTTTTGACTTTAAAAACTGCACTGGACTCTAGAAGAAAAACTGATTTTAAGCTTCTTTGGTTCTTTTGGACTTTAAAAGATTCTGATCTCTTTGAACTGTCATCTCATGAGGGCAACACGATTTGATTTCGGACTAACTCTTTTAAGTTTTAATTTGCAAGCAGATCAAATTAAAAAAAATTTTTTTTCCTGGAAATTTGCCATGGAAGGGGGCTAATAAGCTATGTGGGGCTTCTCGTTCTTGACTTTTTACTGTTGGACTATCTTTATGCTAAATCTTGATCTCACTGTACAATCTTTGAAGAGCTATATTTGACATGGTTTGCTATCACTTGGGATGGGAAATGAGAGAAATTCTGGTTATAGCAAGAGCTTGGAGTTAATTAATTAATGTTTTGATCTGTCCCATTTCAAATAAACCTCTTGCAGCAAACTTCATACTGCCCAACAGCAGACCCAGGATAATTCAGACAGAAGTGGTTGGTACAGAGGGAGCAGCTGGGTGAAGCTGAGAGCAGGGCTGTTTTAATGGATGGTTGCTTGCCACCTGCTGACTATGGACTTGACGGATAAATCCAATGCTTATTTAAAAGAAGGTTAGAACTAGTGGAAGGATCACTTGTTCCCTAGTCCTGTTTCCACGTGGAGGAATTCCATCCAAGGAAATCTCCTGGCCTCTCTCCATCCTTTTGCTTACCAATTCCAAGGAAGGATGAGCAAGTTATATGGCGGACAAGTTGGCCAGAAGGAAATGCCACGAATTTGAGGTCTGCTGGCCTTCCAGAGCACTCAGTATCTGTGCTCCTAAGCTTACAGGGCTGGCCCGAGTTTGCCCAGTACTGCGCATGGCAAGGGGTGAGGCCATCTTACTGAGGAGTGAAGTGGAAGCAAACCAGCTTGGGCATCCAACCTAAAGCTGCTTCTTCCAATAACTTTAATCAAGCTGATACTTTCATCTCCACCTGCCTGACTCTGGTCTCCTTCTTCATTGGCTCTGGGTCTTGGGATCGCGCCCCACGTTGGGCTCCCTGCTCAGCAGGGAGTCTGCTTCTCCCTCTCACTCTGCCCCCCCAATAGTACACACTCTCTCTCTCTCTCAAATGAATACATAAAATCTTTTAAAAATATTTCTGGAGGCGCATTTTTTTTAAATTTTTTATTGTTATGTTGATCACCATACATTACATCATTAGTTTTTGATGTGGTGTTCCATGATTCATTGTTTGTACATAACACCCAGTGCTCCATGCAGAATGTGCCCTCTTTAATACCCGTCACCAGGCTAACCCATCCCCCCACCCTCCTCCCCTCTAGAACCCTCAGTTTGTTTTTCAGAGTCCATCGTCTCTCATGGTTGGTCTCCCCCTCCGACTTACTCCCCTTCATTCTTCCCCTCCTGCTATCTTCTTCTTCTTTTTTTTTCTTAACGTATATTGCATTGTTTCAGAGGTACAGATCTGTGATTCAACAGTCTTGCACAATTCACAGCGCTCACCATAGCGCATACCCTCCCCAATGTCTATCACGCAGCCACCCCATCCCTCCCACCCCCCACCACTCCAGCAACCCTCAGTTTGTTTCCTGAGATTAAGAATTCCTCATATCAGTGAGGTCATATGATACATGTCTTTCTCTGATTGACTTATTTCACTCAGCATAACACCCCTGGAGGCACATTTAAAAAAAACAGGTGAAATTGACTTTAATAATACATTTAATTTAATGCAATCTGTCCAAAATTTAATGCAATCTGTCCAAAATGTTATCATTTCAACATGTGATCAATTAAAATTTTTAACTGGATTTTTTTTTTTAAGTAGGCTCATACCCAGCATGGAGCCCAGTGCCGGTCTTGAACCCATGACGCAGAGATCAAGACCTGAGCCGAGATCAAGAGCTGGACACTTAACCGACTGAGCCCCTCAGACACTCTTATTAATTGAATATTTTATATATATTTTACACTATGCCTTTGAAATCCAATGTGTATTTTATACTTACAGCACATCCTAATTTGGTCTTGCCATATTTCAAGTGCTCAATAGCCACGTGGCCAGTGGATGCCACATTGAACAGTACTGGTCTACATGGTCTCGCCTATCAGTGAAAGGAAGTTAGTTTTCCACTGTAGTTTTGTCTAGGTGAATTATAACTATGAATTAAGGATATCTCTCCCTTTCTCCCCCTTTCCTGCAAACACACATCTTTTCATTGTCTCAAGAGACCAAGAAAGGGTTCAAATTGCTTTCTGATACACTTTCCCCCAGACAGCTATTTCTTTGAATATAACATGTGCATTGACTAGAACACATGGCCATTTGGTTTTCTTTCAGCTGAAAGTTAGATTTTAGACCCATGGGACTGTGATTTATAGATGACCATATTTTGCATTTCATCACAAATTCAAGGGCCACCTGAAGTTCATAGTTGAGGGTGGGCCTGGGTGAGCTGGACTGACACAGGAAGGCCCCTTGAGGCCACCCCCAACTAGTCAGGTGCTGATGGATGGATCTCCCCCATCCCCAGCCGACTTGGGGTTTAGCTTACTGACGGAGATTCCTAATTTCCTTCGACTAGAGGGGCAGGGCATGAGCAGGACCGTTGACCTCCTGTTTGCTATGGTCACAGATCTCAGCACGGGCAGGAAAACTTCACTGGCCACTTTGGAAGGCCCAACGCTTTGGAAAAGCCTGGAACTTGTGTCCATTGTGGCATCAAGGGGCACCTGTCAGCTGTTTGCTCCATTCTCACTGGAGCATGTGAACGTGTGCATCTTTCTCATCTTACTGACAGAGACATTACATCTCAGATCCCATCGGCTTCTCAGAACTCCTGGGACCCCCACAAAGAACCGTACTCAAGCTGGAAGAGAGAGGACAGATGGACGAAGGGCTTCTCCCGGCGAGGAGTGCGAAGCCTTAATAGTGGAGAGATACAGGAGGTGAAGGCACCGATTCTGCAGGATTCCAGGTGGTGGAAGAGCTCACTCCTGGGGAAGCAGACGGCGATGCACAGAGAGCTCAAGCTTGGAGGCATTGCCCCCCACCCCGGGAGGGAGAGAGAAGGCCACTGGGGCCCCAAGGTAGGGAGGGGGTGCAGAGACAGGGGCAGCCCGGCCCGGAGCCCCTACCCTCAGCAGGGAGAGGCTGAGGCTGAGAGACGTGGGTGAGGCAGGCAGGGTGGCCTCAGCAGCCCCTCGATACCCACGCAACCGCCTCTGTAAGGACTGACATTTCTGTCATTTCTGCTGAGAGTGGGCACCGCACATCCACGCCCACGTGGAGCCCTGGGTTTCATTCCGGTTACACTTAACCTCAGGGCCCAAGCACCAAAACGCAGACATGGAACCAGGCCACTGAGTGTTGCAGGCGGCTCTCCACTCGCCACTCTAATTCATTCTTTTCCGTTTTCTTCCAGACATTCGTCGGAAGAAACAAAAGGCCACGCCGAGAGACGATCTGCTCTGGGCCGGGCATGACTATCCAGAGCGTTTCTTTGGTGCAAGGATGCTCATACACAAAGCCCACAGTATTAAACGTGGAGAAAGCCGTTTATTTACTTACTGTGGACGCACAATGAACACACCTTTTAGAATCTCTAAAAGTAAGAAAGAGAGTTTTATTGGCCGAAAGGACACGCTCTTCACAGGGGAGAACGGGCTCCGGGGAGAATGAACCGTGTTTACAGGGTGATAGCCTTTCTTACATCTTGTAAAAGCTCTAACGATTATAGATTTGCACGCAGGCAGGAATCACGGGTTTACCAGAAAGGAATGCGGGGGGGGCGGGGAAGGAGCATTGATTGACCTCGAGGACAAGATGGTTTTCCTTCAGGTGGCTCACTCACAAAGCACGTGTACGATGCCTGACGCATGCGTGGCGGGCCATAAATCAGGCTTTGGGTTTGAACAAAGATTCTACACAGTCACGTTGACTTGGAAGGAAATCTCAAATGGCTTCCCGCAGTATCTCAGGCCTTCAGAGAGTTTTTTCTGTCATCATTCTGCTCCTGAAGAACTTCTGAGAAGAAATGAGAACAGCAAAAGCAGGAAGCTCAGTGGCACGACAACCATTTAACCCCCGCGAGGGTAAGATGTGGGAAATGGGACTGGCAGGCTGTGGTCTGAAATGGGGACAGTGGCTCTCTTTCCCCTCCACGCTTTAAATCTTTCCCGTTTCCCATGATATATTTCACTACTGTAATGGGGGGGGGTAGGTGGAGACTCCTCCCTTCCCTTCATAGGGTCCTTCTTTATTCAGGGACCCCAAGTCAGGGACTCTATTTTAAGAAAAGAAATCGTAATAATAATGCAATAAGCCTTTGGCACACAGATATTCATTTTACCACTATGCATAAAAAAAAAAATTGAAATAATCTAAATGTCCCTGAAAGCGGAAGGCATCTAGTGTGGCCCTTACTTTTCCTCTTCTGGCAACTTTCTCCATTCCCGTACCCTACAGCGCCCACCGCTCAGGCCAGCATCCGGCGCAGGCAAAGGCACGTGACCCAGTCCTGACCAATCAGAGCGGTCCCTGGGCCTCTGCCCCGCCCCCATCCCCTTGGGAGCACCCAGCTGGAAGGGGGTGCACTGGGTTGCAGGGGTGGGGGGGACTTGGGGGAGGGCTCTTGTCTGAACCTGGTGCAGGCCTGCCTGAGAAATGGAAAGACAAATGCCTGATGACATCCTTTTTTGTTCTCTGGATCCAGACACACCTGAAGCCCGCTGTACCCTTAGGTGTCTAAGCACACAAGTCAATAAACTCCCTTTTTTGTGTTAGCCAGTTTGCGTGGCTTTTGGCTACCTAAAACAGAAAGTGATGACTAACATATGTCTAATTTAAAAGATTGTATATATATATAATCAAGAGAATATCTCGTAACATAAAAAAAAGTCTATAAAAACTAAGTGAAATAGAGAATGGTAGGAAAATATTGCAAAGTGAAAACAGCACCCTGGAAAGTTCTAGATCTGTAGGCAAAGGGGAGAAATGAGAATGAGAGAGAGAGGAAACTGGGTTGCAGAAAAAAATCTAGGATGTAACGCAGCCTTGAGGGAGGGTCCCCAGTGGGCAGTCTCAGGACAAGTATGGAAGGCAGGTGCTTTAATATTCTACACCAGACTGCCAACAGTCGTCACCCTTGGTTGATGCATTATTTGTTTTTTTTTTTAAGATTTTGTTTATTTGACAGAGAGAGACACAGCGAGAGAGGGAACACAAGCAGAGGGAGTGGGAGAGGGAGAAGCAGGCTTCCTGCTGAGCATGGAGCCCGATGTGGGACTCGATCCTAGGACCCTGGGACCATGACCTGAGCCGAAGGCAGACGCTTAACAACTGAGCCACCCAGGCGTCCAGTCGATGCATTATTTCTAACTCTTATGTTTTACTTGTTTGAATTTTATTTTATTTTACTATTTTTTAAGATTTTATTTATGTATTTGACAGAGAGCACAAGCAGGAGGAGCGGAAGGCAGAGGGAGAGGGAGAAGGAGAAGCAGGCTCTCAGCTGAGCAAGGAGCCGGATGCGGGCTCCATCATGACCTGAGCCAAAGGCAGATGCTTAACCAACTGAGCCACCCAGGCGCCCCTGCCAGAATTTTAAAAAAATTGTATTTAATGTCCATGCACTGCTTTCAAAACAGCAGCTAAAACCTAAGAAAGAAGTAGGTTGAAGATAGGTGACACGGAAAGCCTGGAGAGGTCCTCACAGTTTCCGAGGACATCCTAAGTTGCTCTGAACTTGGGGAGGAGAGAAGCGTTCCGGGGCCTCTCTCCTTCCTGATGGAATCTGGTCGAGCAGGTTCCAGTGACGTCCTGTTGTGTGCAAACCCGGGTCTTACCCAGCATTACCTTGGGTGCAGGAGGAAGGGAGCAGAGCAGGCAGCTGGCCACAGAAAGGTGAGCACAAGATGCCCCTCACCTCGGGGACCCTCCTGTCCTATCCTCTGCATTTAATATAGAGCCCACACCAATCGACACATGCTTCATGAGGACCTACTGTGTGCACGTGAGTGAATGGGGCACGGGAAAAGCAGCGGGAAAGAGGCACCTCCCGAGAGAAGGGATGGGGGAGAATGAAGAAGCAGGGTGGTGAAGGAGAGGCAGGACAGACGGACCTCACCACACTCACTAGCTGACCGTGCCCTCAGGCCCCAGTTGGACCTCCCAGTTGCTAAGTCTCTAGGCATCGCCTCTGCCAACCCAGCCCGCCCCCACCCTATCGCCTTTTAAGTCTGCTCAGAGTCCTCTCCTGTCACCTGGGGACCTGCTTCCCCACGCCTGCCTGGGGGTCAAGCCAGAGACCCAGTGGCTCCGCCCAAAGATGAGCTCCCTGGCCTTTTCTCTTGGAAGAGTTTCCGTAAAGAAACAAAAACACCAGTCACAGGAGGGCTTGCGAAGGAGGGCTCGGGGGGCAGCCTGGCAGGCTTCCTGGCTTTGTATCCTGACTCTGCCACCCCTTAGCTGTGAGCACTTGGCGAGTCACCAAAGCTCCCTGTCTTCGTCAGCTGGGGCTGCCCTAGCGGAATAGCACAGACCGAGTGCCTTATATAAGGGGAATGTGTAGTTCTGGAGGCTCCGGCCAGCTGGGTTTCTGGTGAGCCCTCCCCCCTAGCTTTGGAGATGGCCACCTTCTTGCCGTGTCTTCCTACGGACTTTCCCCCTGTGCGGGCGCAGGCAGAAAGAGAGAGCCCTCTTGTATTCCCTCCTCCTCTTAGAAGGACACCAGTCTCATAGGACCGCCCCTTCCTATGACCTGATTCAGCCCCAGTCACTTCCCAAAGGCCCCACCTCCAAATAGTCACACTGGGGCTTCAACCTATGAAGGTTCAGGGACACATTTCAGTCTGTAACGCTCCCTGTGGCTCAGTGCTCTCTGCCGTACACCTGGGAAGACCCTCTTCCCAGCCCATGGACCTCAAGGAGCATTGAGAGAGAAATTGAAGGCATGACCAGGTCTGCCCAGGACAGGCGCCATTATCATCAAGAGGCACCTGATGTCATTTGGACCCCCCGGGCCACCAGGTGCCCCAAATCCTCGGGAACATCCAAGCAAACTTCACACACACACACACACACACACACACACACACACACACACACACACGCTGGCTCCCTTAACACCCTTTCCTTAAACCTTGGTGCCCATCAGCCCCAGTTAAAGTTTCTCCCTTCCCTCCAGCCCTACCCACGAAGGAGATGTCAGCCTCACTTACTGCTGCAGACTCTCACGGAGCTGGGTGAGTTCCATCAGCTTCCTTTCCAGCTCCCGAGCGTGGGCTCTCAGCTCTTCTGCCATCTTGCTTCCTTCTCCTTCCTTCAGTTGCTTCCAGTTGCTCCGGAGGGTGACCACGTTCTGGCAGAGGGAGAAGCCAGCCATAGCACTACACAGCATGCGAACATTTTTCTCCATCAGCACTATTGTGCCCTTAAAGGCCCTTTGCAACTGCATGCTCCTTCGGGCTGAGACTTGGCCAGTGGTCAGGAGACGCTTGGCAGCAGTGGCCAGACGCGGGTGGGCTCTGGCTATCTGACAGGCACGGATGTTCTTCTTAACATCACTGATGTTACTTCCGTAATCATAGGCCTTCTTTCCGACACTCAGGACGTAGAAGACTTTCTTTCCCTGAGCCTCGTTGACCTCATGGTCATGGGTGGGCACTAGGGTGCTGGCGTGAGTTTGGGCTTTTTGATTTTGACGGTGTTCCATGATGTTGATGAAGATGCTGGTGAACCCGACTGCTGTCCCCAAAACTTTACCAGCAGCAGAGAGCGCCAGACTTCCTCCTACTGTTGCTGGAGCAAGGACCAGACCCAGCATGCTCATGGCGTCTGAGACCACAGTGAGGGAGGTGGCCACCATGTTGGTCTTGGTGAATGTTCTGTGGGTTGTGTCGATGCTGTCTGCAAGGGCATGGAGCTTCCTGATGGTCACTTCTAGCTCTTCCTTGATGATGGGAAACTCTCTCAAAAATATTATTTCTTCAGCTGACAGATCCTCATCTTGTTGCTGCACATCCTCACACAGAAGAATGTCATCCTGGTCCCTGCGAGTGAGCAAAATAAAGGTTTTGCTTAAGTCTCCCAGATGGGAAAGTCACATTCTTAGGCCCATTGTGGTTTCTGGGTGTTCTTGCCACTCCTGCCTCTGCGTCCTTCCTGCATCTCCCTGACACCTCTGTTACGTCTCACCCAGCCTTGGAGAGTCCCAGAGCATTGTTGGGAGCTGCTGCTTCCATGAAGAGAAGAAACACACATCATAGAGACTTCTGGAGGGACAAATGGGAGAAACACAGCCTTGCCTAAGAGATGGAGAAGGTAGATTAGTCCTGGGGGACATGTTCAGCCTTGTTCAAAGAGACGGTCACCCAGGAGGGGCAGTGAGGAAATGCTAAGATCTGAGTCAAGATAAAGAACCTGAGACTAAGGGAGGGGCAGGTGTGGGAAAGGCAGGCGAAGGAGGAGACCGGGCGGAGGGTCCTGCGTTTGTAGCCGCAGGTCAGAGGGAGGAGGCACCCTGCTGTACAATGCAGCCCACACTCCCACGGCCTTGACTTTGGCTGCTGTGGTGGCCTTTGCCTCCAACCGGAGTTGAACACCGAGAGGGCTGAAGTAAATTATCACTAATATCTTGAAGGCTCTCCTTGGCACTTCGCCAGCTTTACCTGACGACTCAAGCAGATGGGTTGGGTCCTTCATGGAAGATGTCAGGGACAGAGGGCATCTCCTCCCCAGTGTCTCACAGTACAGAGTATTAAGGGATCTTCATCACCCCAGAGGAGTTTGGCCTTTATGGGAGAACAGTGTCAGGGAAGAGCAAACCTACTCCTTCGGGCACTTTCCTCAAACCAAGGGCCATTGGTGCATCTTCTTGAAGGCGAGCTTGGGAGGCCCGGTGATGACGGATTCCCTGGCCCAGAGGAGAGACTCAGAACTGGAAGGAGCCCTAGCCGGGGTCCAAGCTACCACCTTTACTTTTCAGCGGAGGGAACAGAAGCCCAGAGAGGAAAGGGGACTTGAGCGAAGGGACGCGTGAGATGAAGATGGAGCTCTGAGCCCACCGCCATTCTGGGCTGTTTTTCTCTCCTCTGTCGGCTGATGTCAGGAATTCCTCACTGAAATACACACACACACACACACCTTTTAATCTCTCTCTCTCTCTCAACACATGCACACAATTTCTCAATGGAAAAGGTAAAAAAACAAATATACTTCCAAGGAAACCCCTTAGCGTTAATAACGAATGAATTTAGGCCCGATGATCAGTTAATCAGCAGCTGTAAATCAATTCGCAGAGGAGAAGGTTGCCACGGGCTTGCAGGGATAAGGGGAGGGATGAAGGCCAGGAGGGGGACACAGCCGAGGACCCCTAACCTTTACGGATGCCACAGTCCAGCCCTCCCTGCCCTTGTGTTTCCTCAGGGGAATGGGGACAAGGAGGTACAGAGATTGACTACCCCCACTGTGCGTCCACTACTGAGTTTTGTCTTTAACATGGTTGAGAGGGAACGGGAGTTTGGCTTCTTGTGCTTTTGAGTGAACCCGAATGTCTCCGATGCGGGCATTTCCTGCTGCCTCGCATCCTCACGGGGGGACAGGTGCAGCATGATGGTCCCGCTCTAGAAGGCACCCCCTCGCGTACAGCTCCCCTGGCTCACTCTGCGAACGTCTGTTGACTGTCCGCACTGTGCTGGAAGCTGGTGGGGTGACGTCTGCGGATTTGCGGCTCACTGGGCCTGAGTTCTTCAACGCAGTGGCACCAATGGGCCCTTTTGGTAATGGCTGAGCCCTCACGGGCCTCACCTCTATAGGCGGGGCAGTTTCTGCCCTTCCAGGCCTATTGCCCACTGTCGGGCACCTGACTGATCTGGCCTTCTCTCCAAAATATTCAGTGTAGGCTGTGGAATATTTGTTTCCCTATCGCATAGCAGGAGGGTGCCTGGAGCATTTCAGCAGGAGCCGCCCTCCCCAGGGACAAAGCTCTCCACCTTACCTCGGGCATTCCGTCCCTGCCCTGTTGTCCAGAGGCTCCTGCCACCCCAAAGTTGAGCTCATTTGGTCCATGGGAGAATTAGAGGTGCCCTCATGAGTCATTGGTGCAACGTCCTGCTTGGACACCTGGAAAACAAGGTTATTGCAGGTGCCAGGAAACCATGTGAATTTCAAGGTTTGCGGTGGGATTTTAGGTTATGTAAAATCAAAGTAATAATGAAATACTGACAGTATACTAAATATTTGCAAACTACTGCCCGTACATTTTATATTGCAGTGTCGCTTATCCACGGTAAGCACATAAAGTCAAGTCCTCAGCTCAATAAGCTTTCACAGACACATACACCCAAGTAATCACCACCCTGATCAAGATATAAAAAAGCAGCTTTCTTTGGCCTGCTCGCAGTCAGTCCTCATCTCCCCCACCCCCGGGGGGTAACCACTCTTCCATAACCACTGATCAGTTTGCCTGTTCTTGAACTTCATATAAATGGAGTCATTTGTTTGTTTGGATTCTTCCGCTCAGTTTAACGTGTGTGAAATTCGCCCCCGTTGTGGGTATCATTGGTTTTAGAAATGATTGCTATGGAACATTTCATTATATAAATACACCGCGCCTGGGTGGCTAAGTCGGTTAAACGTCCGACTCTCGATTTCTGCTCAGGTCATGATCTCAGGGTCATGAGATCGAGCCCTACGTCGGGCTCTGTGCTCAGAGGGGGGTCTCCTTGTCCTTCTCCCTCTCTGCTCCTCTCTGCTCCTCTCTCTCTCTCTCAAATAAATAAATGAAATCTTAAAAATAAATAAATAAATAAACACACTGCAATTTGTTGGTCTATTCTTCCATTGATTGATATGTTTCGGTTGTTTCTGGTCATTGGCTATTATGAATGAATTGATTATAATGATTAAAAGATCATTTCACAACAACAACAACTTATAAGGCCCCTTTGTATAAATTACATTCCAACAGACATATCGATATTATATTAATATTCTGAGAACTGCAAAAGGTCCTGCCAGAGCATACGGGTGGGGTCTGAAATCCATCCCAGAATCTACTTGCCAAGTGTTCAGACCTGGGGCCAGGGATAGGTGCTGTGTCTTATCTGGAAGAAGGAGCACTTTGATTGCATGCGTGCTTGCTTGCACAGAGCCGCTATCCATTTTTTAAAGATTTTATTTATTTATTTGAGAGAGAGTGGGAGAGGGAGAAGCGGACTCCCCGCTGAGCAGAGAGCCCGATGTGGGACTCCATCCCAGGACCCTGGAATCATGACCTGAGCCAAAGGCAGACGCTTGACCGACTGAGCCAACCAGGCGCCCGGCTGTAGAGCATGCATCCTCAGAGCTATATCCATTCGCAGGCTGGGGGGGCTTTTTCTAATAAGCCCCAGGGCACCACATGGGCTAATGGTGGCCCTGATCTAACTTAGATGTTAAAATGATCACTTGGGCTGGAAAAGAGATTCCAGATTTGCAAGAGGGGAAGCAAGGAGACCAGTTAGAAGCGACTGTGGTGGTTAGAGCAAGAGAGGACAGCCGCTTGGACTAGGCTGGTAGAAGTGATGAGAGAGATTGTATTTGCAGGAAGCCACAGGATTCTTCAGGGGCGTGGGATGTGGGAGGGCAGAGTGCAGGATGACTTCAGGGTGAGTCAAGTTTGGGGCGTGAAGGACTGTTACAGTGAAGATTCTATTTCCTGAGATGGGAAGGGCTGAAGGTCTTCTGGGCAGGTAATGGACTGCAGTTTGGGGTGAGTTAAGTTGGAGGTGCCCATTAGACATCCAAGCGATGCTGAGCAGGCAATGGATCTATGATTCCTGTTCCGGCTGGGAGATTAAATTTGGGAGCCATCTGTATAGAAAGTACTTAAAGCCATGAAATTGCATAAGAACCCTAGGAAGAAAGTACTAGTAAAGGTCAAGTGTGGTCCATGACTGAGCCCAGCAGTATCCCAACAGTTAAGCCCAGGAAGAAGACAAGGAAGCGGCAAGAAGCGGAGAAGGAGCAGCAAGTGAAGTACAAGGAAAACAAAGACATTTTGGAAGTCACATCTTGTGTATCCTTGTATTTTTAAGTGTTCTGGGGGGCATTCTGCTTTCCATCTTTCCCCTACAAAGACATCATTGGATTCTGCTTTACCCTCTCATGAAAATGGCTGGAATGGAAGGAAACTAACCTCGGCAAATCTGAGGGGGTCTCTGTTGCTGTGAAGTTCAGAAGGGCGTCTCTGCTCTTTTCCGTATCAGAAGGACAGGGAGTCTGGCTGGGGAGAGACATTGTTTTAACCTTCCAGAAGAGGAAACTTGACCTACCGTTAGTATAAAGACAGTATGGTGAAGTGGATTGGAAGCTCCCTCTGCCACTTACCGGTTCTGAAATTTCAAGAAAATTAACTCACTGCTCTGTTTCCTCTTCCTTCTCTGTGAACTAGCTAGGAAAGGAAAAACGCCAATAAATGTTCAGGGACAGTAGTTCCTGCATTTTTCGTAAGTATAAACGGGATAAGTATCTTCTATCAAAAGGAAAAGACCCTGATACTGGTTTAGAAAGCAAAATCAACCATATATATGGCTTACAAGAGATACATCTGAAACACAGTGACCCAGAAAAGTTAAAACTAGAAGAATGGACAAAGTCATAGCAGCCCAGGGAGGTGGCTGTGTTGATAAAGGGTAGGGCAAGGGACCCATACGATGGAACTGTTCTGTATCTTAATTCTGGTGTTGACCACCCAAATCTACACGTGAGGAAACTGCGTAGAACTAAATACACACACATGCTCACACAAATGCACACACACACACACACAAATGAGTGGGAGTGAAACTGGTGGATTCTGAATAAGTTGGTGGTTTGTATCAATGTCAGTTTCCCAGTTGTGTTACGGTAGGACAATTTTGCAAAACCTTACACCAGGGAATCTGAGTAAAGGGGGTACATGGGCTCCCCCTGTATTATTTCTTACAACTGCATGTGAATCTACCATTATCTCAAAATTAAAACTTAAAAATACCATAGCATACACCTAGTGGAATGGATAAAATCCAGAACACTCGTAACCCCAGATGCTGGTGAGGATATGGAGCACCAGGAACCCTCTCTGATTGCTGGCGGGAATGCAAAGACACTATGAAAGACCGTTGGGAATTTCTTACCAAAACTAAACATACTCTGACCATACGATCCAGCAATCACATTCCTTGATATTTACCCAAAGGATTTGAAAACTTGTGTCCACACAAAAACCTGCACACAGATATTTATAGAAACTTTATTCATAATTGCCAAAACTTGGAGACCACCAAGATGTCTTTCAGTAGTGAGGAAACAAATGGTGGTCCAGCCAGATAAAGGAGTAATATTATTATTCAGCACTATAAGAAATGAGCTATCAAGCCATGAAAAGACCCGGGGGAAATTTAAATGCATTTTACTAAGTGAAAGTAGCCAGTCTGAAAAAGCTACGCTCTGTGTGATTCCAACTATAGGACATTCTGGAAAAGGCATAATTGTGGAGACAGTAAAAAGAGTCGTGGTTGCCAGGGGCTGGTGGGAGGGAATGAGGAATAGACAGAGCACAGAGGATTTTTAGGCCAGGGAGACTATTCTGCCAGCTATTGCAATGGTGGATGGATACATGTCATTATACATTTGCCCAAACCCATAAAATACACAACACCAAGAGAGAACCCCAGTGTAAACTATGGACTCTGGTTGATAATGATGTGTCAATGTAGGCTCACCAGCTATAACAAGTGTCCCATTCTGGTCTGGGATGTTGATAGGGTGGGGGGAGTGCTGTGCGTGGGATGGGGGACCCAGGGGGCGTATGGGAAATCTCTGTACTTTCCCCTCACTTTTGCTGTAGATCTAAAACTATTCTAAAATATGAAGGTTATTTTTTTAAAAAAAGAACCAGCCAAACATGCAGATACAAAAAGGAAGCAAAAAGCAAGCATAATTCATAGTTTAAAAAAAAGGAAGGAAAGAAAGAAAGGAAAGGAAAGGAAGGAAGAAAGGGAAGGGAAGGAAGGAAGGAAGGAAGGGAAAGAAAGAAAGAAAGAAAAGAAAAAGAAAGAAAGAAAGAAAGAAAGAAAGAAAGAGAGAGAAAGAAAAGTCTGAAAACCACCCCAAATGGACTAGTTAAGTATGTGGTTTATCTAACCATGAAATAGTATGCAGTCATTTAACCAAATGAGGCAAATCCATATGAGCAGAGGGAAGGCTCTCCAGCACACATTGGTACATGAGAAGGCAGGGTATAGGATACTGTATAGTGTGCTCCCATTTGCATTGAAGAAAGACACATATGTTTGTAGAGACCAGAAACTAGTAACACTGATTGGATTGGGGGTCAGGGATGAGAGGGAAGCTTGCTTTTCATGCTTCATCCTTTTATACTTTCTATCAATCACTTTTGCCATATACCTGCCTGTGATACCTTGATTTTTTTTTTAAAGACTGTCTCCCCAGGGGCGCCTGGGTGGCTCAGTCGTTAAGCGTCTGCCTTCGGCTCAGGTCATGATCCCAGGGTCCTGGGATCGAGCCCCACATCGGGCTCCCTGCTCAGCGGGAGAGCCTGCTTCTCCCTCTGCCTCTGCCCCTCCCACTGCTTGCTCTCTCTCTCTCTCTCTCTCTCTCTCTCTCTCTCTCTCTCTCTGTTAAATAAATAAATAAATAAATAAGAAAGTCCCCCCACACATGTTTTGAAAGCACAAAAACCCTTGCAATCCTTTTTCCCCCCTAATGATTTAAATAAATACAGGTTTACGTAGAAGATGTAGAAATAAAAAATACAATTCTTCTGTATTCTCACCTCACAAAATAACCACTGTGGACATTTTATTTTATAAGCAAAACAAAAAAAAATTTTTTTTAGGATTTATTTATTTAGAGGGAGTGAGAATGAGAGAGAGAGAGAGAGAGCACATGAGACGGGGGGAGGGTCAGAGGGAGAAGCAGGCTCCCCGCCGAGCAGGGAGCCCGATGCGGCACTCGATCCCGGGACTCCAGGATCATGACCTGAGCCGAAGGCAGTCGCTTAACCGACTGAGCCACCCAGGCGCCCAGCAAAACAAAATTTAGACTCATGACGTACATTCAGTTTTGTGTGAATTTTTGTCATTTAACATTACATTACAGTGGGACCCCATATGATTAAATAGTCTCAAACAAGCTATTTAAAGGCTGTGTAACATTCCATTAGATGGGTGTTATTATTATGTATTTAATAATTCTCCTGCTATTGAATTTTTGGGTTGTCTTCAGTTTGAGCTTTGTTTTTGTTTGCTTTTATAATTTTTGCTTTATAAATACTTTTTGATCCTTATATAAATGTTGGTCCACACATTTGGGTATTTCTTTGGGATAGTCTTAGGATAGTCTTTCTCTGGATTATTTCCTGCATCAAAGATGAAAAACATTTTCTTGGGCACCTGGGTGGCTCAGGCGGTTAAAGTGTCTGCCTTTGGCTTGGGTCATGATCCCAGGGTCCTGGGATCGAGCCCCATGTCAGGCTCCCTGCTCAGCGGGGAGTCCGCTTCTCCCTCTGCCTCTGCCCCTCCCCCTGCTCCTGCTCTCTCTCTCACTCTCTCTCAATTAAATAAATAAATCATCTTTTTAAAAAAAATGTTTTCTCCTAGACGAACCATGAGAGACGACGGACTCTGAAAAACAAACTGAGGGTTCTAGAGGGGAGGAGGGTGGGGGGATGGGTTAGCCTGGTGATGGGTATTAAAGAGGGCACATTCTGCATGGAGCACTGGGTGTTATGCACAAACGATGAATCATGGAACCCTACATCAAAAACTAATGATGTAATGTATGGTGGTTAACATAACAAAAAAATTTAAAAAAAATGTTTTCTCCTCTCTGACTTATAAAGCTAGGTTTCAGGGATTTGGCTCCAGGGTGCCCATGGCCTATAATATGAGGCACGTTTTGGGGCTTAATTGTGCCAAACATGTATCTACCTACTTTATACACCCTTAATTCTCTCAATGACTCTGTGACACAGATGCTAAAATTATCCCCATTTTCCAGCTGAGGAAACCGAGGCACAGGGAGACCAATACCATGCAGCCGGTATAGACAAGCACACAGTGTGATTCCAGCCAGGTCTGCAATTCAAGCCGAAAGCGATAGACCTCAGTCGAGGCGGAGTTTTCTCCCCAGGGATGTTGGTAATATCTGGAGATGTTTACAATTGTCATCCAACTCTGGGGGAGGCAGGAAGTACAGCTACTGGCCTTGAGTGGGTGGAGGCTAATGAGGTTTCTAAACACCCTGCAGTGCACAGGACAAGAAATGACGCAGTCCAAAATGTCAGTGGTGCTAAGGTGGAAAAACCTCAATTCTTGGGGCACCTGGGTGGCTTAGTTGGTTGGGCATCCGACTCTTGATTTCAACTCAAGTCATGATCTTGGGGTCCTGGGATCGAGCCCCGCCGCAGACTCCATGCTCAGCAGGGAGTTTGCTTGAGATTCTCTCTCTCTCTCTCTCTGCTCCTCCACCTCCCTCCCACACCCCCGGTCTCTTTCTCTGAAAATAACAAATAGATCTTCAAAAAGAAACGAAAAGGAAAGAAAAACCCTGGTCTGGAGCCCCATTCTTTGCCAGCACCCTGTCATACCTCGCCATGTCCTATGAGTCCTATGGGATGAACAGGGAAGATGATACAGGGAGCCCTTTGCTCCCACCCCACCCCCCACTCACCTTCTTTCTGTGGATGTGTGAGGATCCTACCATTTGGCGGCCGCTTCCTTGCAAACCAACTCCCTCCAACATACCAGCTAGGTAAAAGGCAGCTCACTCTGAAAACACGGCTTCAAGATACTCCCCTGAATCTTCACCACCACCCTTCGTTCCCCAAGTCTCCCCCTGCCCAATAAACCTACAGTCCCGGGAACACTGCCGGTTGGCTTTGCACTTTGGAGACAAGTCACTCAGCCTCTTTGTTTCTCCAAGGATGACATGCCCTCGAGGGAAACTCTTGTCACCAGTGAGGCCTCCTACACTCTGGGGGCCGACCCTCTCATCTAGCACCAGTTGGAGGCGGGTGGTCCCCAGCCGGCAGAGGTGAGATGTAACTTGGTTTGTCCTATCGCCTTTGTAATCCTGTTTCCACCTAAACTTCAAACAGCCCAGGAAGAGAGAATCCTACCCTGATTTACCATCAAAGAAGTTGCGCTTCAGGCCTTTCCCGAGGCCAGAGCCCTGGCAGGACCGGGATGTGACCCCCGGTGGCCCTGGTTCCAGCTCTCTGTTGTGAGCCAAGTGCCTACAGCCTCACTCCTCCGCCTGCTGTCTCGCTGAGGACTCGGGTGCCCAGGGACAGGAGGACCCCACCCTGCGCTCTGTCCTCACCTCTCTGGGGCCTCTGGTCTGGCGGGAGGCTGTAGCAGAGTCTCCAGCAGGTTCTGTTCCCCGGAGGAAAGCCCGAAGCTCTGCAGACCTCTTCTGAGCCAGCTGAGAACTTGGTCCGGGCTCTGCCGGCACAGAAATGGTACAAACTGAAGCAACACTTCTGGGAAGAGCAGGGCTTACCGAGAAATGTTTTTCACTTTTGTTTTCTTTTCTTGCCTCTTTCCCTTCTAGCTGTGCAGGAAGCAAAGCAGTAGAACCATGGGCGGAGGCCCAACCCCCCCTTGCCCTGCCCTCGCTGTGTGCTGGGCGCCAGGATAGCGGCCAGTAAGGCGAGGGCTCGGTCTAGCGGACCACACGGAGCTGTTCCTCACCGGCGCTCGGCCTCGATTCCCCAGCTGTGAAATGGATCGCAAAACAGTGCTTGTGGCTCAGGGCCGTGGTGAGGAGCGAGTCCCTCAGCGCCCAGTGTGGACTGGGCGCCCCACAGATGCGTCACCAGTGACCACCGTGGGTGCTGTCACATGGCTCTCCCGCCCTCTGAGCTGGGGGATGGGCGAGGGCCGATGCCTCAGATCTGTAACCGTGACTTTCTGAAGTCGCTGGAAACCAAGACCTGTTTCGGTAATTCGTGTGGTGGAGGGACCTGACCCTGACCCGCCCGGGTGCAAGGACACGGTTCTTGTGTATCCTGCTTCATTCGCATATTCGTGGTTTCCCTGAGAAATAGTAGCATGTGACCAAACAGGGCGGCGAGGGGGTTGAAAAACCTTTCCAGAACCTTTCCCCAAATCCAAACCATGGGAAACTCTGAAACACATCTGGCCCCGAAGGTTTGAGTACAGGATTGTGGTTGTGAGTCTCCCGAGTTGCAGATGGCGAAACTGAGACCCCGGGGGAGCAGTGTGGGTCAGTGGCTTGCCCGTGGTCACACAGCTAGGAAACGGCAGACCCAGTTCTAGCCTCCATGTCTGTGGGAATAACCTGCGCAGTCGTGGGCTGAGATCTGTGTCTCCGTGTGTGTGTGTGGGGGGGGGGGCCTTGTGGTTTGTTCACATCGATAAGGCAGAAAGCCCCAGGTCGACTCCCCAGCCCTCCCGGAGGCCTTACCGGCTCTGTGGGCGTCCCCCGGGGCCCTCCAAGCAGGCAGCGGGGATGAGAGGCCGGTGGGCTGCTGAGCTGGGACTCGGAGGGGCCTGAGGGGCCCTGGTGTCCTGGCCTCCCGCACTCTGGACAGAGGCTGTCCTCCAACTGGGGCGGCCTCCCTGCAGCTTTCCCTGGCAACAGACGCAGATGCTGAGGCCTCCCCCGAGGGCCTGGGAGCCGGCCACTGGACTAGGGTGGTGTTTACCACGGCGGTGCTGGTGAAGCAAGAGCCCCTAAGAGACTCGGGGCGAGCGAAAGAATGTCACATGCAGCAAACGCCGCTTCTGGGGTGAGACAGAAAACATGTGGTGCGTCACCCAGCTGAGCGAGAGGACGGAGCTGCTTCATTTCATAAACCTCCCCTCCCCTTCCTCGGGGGCCCCCACCCTGCTGACAAGAACAAACTTACCTTACGCTCCCTCAGTCTCTTGCAATTTCAAACACACAGTGTTGGGTCAAGTTGGTCATTCGGCAGGTGAATGTTCAGGCAAATTCGGACCCGACTTGGGCATCAGGGCTTTCCCTCTCCCCTTGAAAGTCTGCAGCCCCCTGAGAGGGCACCTGGGTGGGGATGCCTGTGTTGTGCCTCCGGGGTCTCCCTGGCCTGCACAGAGGCCCCCGGTGTCCCACCGTCCCATCGGGCGGCAGCTGCCTCTGGCTGGGGAAGCCCATCCAGCTGGCTGCTGGTTTGGTGGCGGCCCCCGGGCTCTGGTTTCAGCCACACCGGCCTCTGGCCCACACGCCCCGGGGAATAGGCTCCAATGCGCTGGGCCCATGTCCCACCTTGCAGGCCTTGCTCAGGCCCTGGGGAACTGCAGGGGGCAGGGTGGGAGGGGGATGAGCTGGGGAGGCCTGGCGGGGGGGAGGAGGTGCCCCAGCCCCTTCCTTGACCCAGGCACACACCACTGAGGCTTCTCCAGCTGCTGCCCCTGCCCCAGGCCTCTCTGCTCTGGCTGCCTGCCTCCTTCCTTCCCCCAGGCGGACTTTTCCTACCACTTCTGCCAGAGTTTGATTGCCTTATTGCTCGAGTCCCTCCCTCTGCCTGTTGCCCTCCCAATCCCGGGAAGGCTTCTCCCTACACCCCTCTCCGTAGGGACTTCTCTAAGGTCAGGTCTGTGCCCACCCCCACACCCTATCCTGAGGACTTCTTGTCCTTTGTTCTCATTCCCTGAGAGATTGACAGCAAAGGGGGTCAGGGAGGGGGACGTCGCACAGATAAAGGGAAATATAGGGGCACCTGGCTGGCTCGTCGGTTAAGCATCTATCTGCCTTCGGCTCAGGTCATGATCCCAGGGTCCTGGGATCGAGCTCCTCATCAGGCTCTCTGTTCGTGGGAAACCTGCTTCTCCCTCTCCTCCCCCCGACCTGTTCATGCTCTCTCTCAACTAAAAAAACAAAATATTAAAAAAGAAAAAGGGAACTATACACTGGAACAGTTTCAAAAGCATCCCCTTTGCTCTCATCAAAGGCTTAGAGAGTTTCTGTGTTACCCAACAAACCAGCCAAGGCCTCCCTTTTGTGACCTAAATGAGGATGGTAGGAATGCCAGCCAGTTAGTCTGGTGCTCGAAGGCAGGCCCTCCAGGTTGTTCTCCCCGCTGGGGACCTGGCCACAGTCACTGGTGCTGGAAAATTAGGGAGCTCACAGCCAGACACCTCTGGGCTGCCTGGAGCTGTGGTTTGAACACAAGCCCTAGAGATTGATTCAGGCTAATGTAACTTAAGAATCTTCTGGAACACCCCTGAAGCAGCTCCAGCTCCAAAGGTGCAGCAAAACCACCGGGCCTGGGAGAGGACAGGGAGCAGGCCGCCAGTAGCTCATCAGGAGCCAGGGGGACGATTCGGGGGGCTCGTTCCATCATGTGACTCAGCCACAAGCCCCTTCTTGTCTGTTCAAGTTTTGTGATCCTTTGAGTGAATCTGGTTGGCCTAGCGGAGGTCACTGGGTGTGTTTGGGGGTGTGGCTTAGTCCTTTGGGGGCTGCTATAACAAAAAACTGTGGAGGTTTTGGAGGTCAGAAGTCTGAGATCACCTCACGCCAATATGGGCGAGTTCTGGAGAAGACCCACTCCAGGGTTGCAGACTACTGACTTCTCCTTGTGTGCTCACCCGTGGAAGGGGCCAGGGAGCTGTGGGGTCTATTTTAGAAGGACACCCATGCTGCTCCTGAAATCTCCACCCTCACGACCTAATCACTTTCCAAAGGCCCCACCTCCAAATACCATCACATGGGGTGCAGGATTCCAACGTGTGAATGTGGGGTGGGGGCCCAGACATTCAGACTCTAACAGGCTGGGAGGCGGGGAGGTGAGGCTTGCTGGTTAGAGTGAGGCTTGTTGGTTAGTGCGCCCACCAGAACCCTATGGGGTAGAGCAGAGGCAGTTACCCAAAGGAAGGGGGCGCTGTTCCTAGAATCAACCAAGAAAGGATGTCGGGCAGGCGAAAGCAATAGGTGTCCTCTGCGTCCTAACTTTTGCACTGTTCTTCCCCCCAACACACCGTCCTTCCAGTTATAGGACTGAAGAGGGTCTTCTTTATGAGATGTGACAACCCAGATAGAGCTCTGGATGTCCCCAGTCCTCCCCAAGAGTTGCACCAGAAGTCACACCCAGGGGTTGTATCTGCAGGCAAATGGATCTACCCAATGGACCTAGGGTCTCCAGCCTTCTCCCGTTCTACCACACCCCTCATTGACATTCTCAAATCTATGACCTCAGTGGTAAATCTAACCACGCTTAGTAGACAAGAAATGGAATGAGGAGGAGAGGGAAGGAAAATTCTGGGAAAAATCATGCTGACACAGCAAGCAGGGAGTTGCAGTCTTTTGGTTATAATCTTTTTATGAAACTGGCATTCACAATATTTTGGCCAGCTTCAAAAATATTAGTAATAATATTGGCAGTAATCATTACAGCTAGAATTTACTGAGTACTTGCCATGTGCCAGTGCTGTTCCAAGAGCTTCACAAGAATTAGTTCAACGTCATGGGGGTTATTTGTGACTTTCCTTCCTAAATTACCCATTCCTTTATCCCCTTGCCTTCGGCCAGCTCCTCATAAGGTTGGAGTCCTTTCTGAAGGGCGGACCCTAAGCTTCACATGTTCTGGAATCAGGTGGGGTTAGGCTTCCAGCAGCTTCCCCCTGGTCATGGTAGGGCAGGCAGGCACGGACCTAGGGCATAGGAACGCCCCCTCCCCCAGGGCGTGTTGGCAAGATGCTACTACTTCCTTTGATGAACACAGCCAACCACCTTTGTCAACAACAGTCCCCAAAACAGTCTAGAAGTCCCTCAAAACAGTAAATATACCATCAGTGGATGAAGAGATACATAAATCATGGCATATACATACGATGGAATTTTATTCACCATAAAAAGGAATAAAGTGCCAACACATGCCACAATGTAATTGAACCCCAAAGGCCTTCTGCTGCTAAATGAAAGAAGCCAGGCACAAAAGGCCACACGTTGGATGATTCCTTTTACATGAAATATCTAAAACAGGTAAGTTTATAGAGACTTAAAGCAGGTTGGTGGTTGCCAGGGAGACCAGAGGACGAGGGCTTGGAGAGTAACCACTTCATGGGTTTGGGGTTTCTTTTTAGGGGTGTTGAAAACTTTTGGGAACCAGGGAGAAGTGATGGTTGCACCACATTATGAATGTACTCAACAACGAATCGTTCACTTTAAAATACCTAATTCTGGGGCGCCTGGGTGGCTCAGTCATCTGAATGTCTGACTCATGATTTCAGCTCAGGTCATGATCTCATGGGTTGCGAGATCAAGCCCTGCATCGGGCTCTGCACTCAGCAGAGAGTCTTCTTGGGATGCTCTCTCTCCCTCTTCCTCTGCCCCTCCCTCACTTCTTTCTTTTTCTTTATCCCCCCTAAAATAAATAAAGAAATCTTTTTAAAAATAGCCAATTCTATGTCCTGTGTATTTTATTTCAGTTTTTATTTTTATTTTTTTTAAAGATTTTATTTATTTATTTGAGAGAGAGAGAATGAGAGACAGAGAGCACGAGAGGGAAGAGGGTCAGAGGGAGAAGCAGACTCCCCGCCGAGCAGGGAGCCCGATGTGGGACTTGATCCCAGGACTCCAGGATCATGACCTGAGCCGAAGGCAGTCGCTTAACCAACTGAGCCACCCAGGCGCCCTTTATTTCAATTTTTAAAACGTCAGAAAAATGGATTTCAGTCCAGAAAGTTAGGATTTTGTTAAGTAAATGCATCCTTTTCTGGGTCCAAAAAAAAAAAAAAAGGTAAACATAGAAGTACCCTATAATCCAGCAATTTCAATCCCAGATATATACCCAAGAGAAATGAAAACATGTATCACAAACTCG